GAGGTCTTGACTAGGGGGAAACTGCAGGGGTTGTGCACTGTGTGAGAAACTACCCACTGTCTGTATTTTCTTCTCCCAGTTCCTGATTTCCTGCTGTAATTCTCTGCACAGCCCTTGGCCAGGACAGGGAGAGGCTTCAGGGGCTGTCAAGTAGCAGAATTTGACCAATGAAGAAAAACTTGTCTCTCTATACAAATGTTTTTAAACCCTCCCTGCACAGGCCTGTGCCAGGGGGTATAGCTCAGTGGTAGAGCATTTGACTGCAGATCAAGAGGTCCCCAGTTCAACTCTGGGTGCCCCCTCATATTCTGGTTTTTTTTGGTGAGATTTTGGGGCATTTCTTCACTGGAATGCTGACTGGTAAGATCAGCTCAGCTTCCTCTCCTATTAATTTGTTTTCACAGTTACAGATGGAGCCAGAATGTGCAGGGGAAACACCAAAGTCTTGAAGGAAGTTTCTGTTTCAAGAGACTGCTTCAAGGGGACAGAGTGTAACTGGGAGAGGAAAGAGAGATGGGTAGGGAGGAACTGGGCCAAGGTCAGCAGTAAATGGAGAGAGTGTGGGAGGGAGTGTCTGTGCCCTGTGTGGGAGTGGAGGGACTCAACATCTGGGCTGGTGTTGCTTTTCAGTCTAGCACTTTCTGCAGCAGGATTTGCTTCCTGTGGAACAGAGAGTTGAGAGATTGGGGTAGAACATACTTTAAAGTGCTTTTTTTTTTCAGGTGATTTGAGGGGTTCACAGGCAGGGGGTATAGCTCAGTGGTAGAGCATTTGACTGCAGATCAAGAGGTCCCTGGTTCAACTCCAGGTGCCCCCTCTTTTCTTCTCTTTTAACCTTTCTTTTGCCAAAATTTCTCACAGAAAGAGGATGGAGGTCTCTTCCTGGGTCCGGTGAGCTTGTGCTGGGCACTGGAGGTTGGTTTCTGAGCTTTAGCCTTGCAGGTACCAAGGCCCTACCTACGGTGAGCTGCAGGAGTTGTATGTGCATAGTGTGATTAACTGCTCGCTGTTTGCTTCTCTCTGTTCCTGATTCCCTGCAGCAATTCTCTGCACAGCCCTTAGAGGCTCAGGGGGCTGTCAATATGAGAATCTGACCAGTGGATGTAAAACTTTGCCTCTCTGTATGAATGTTTTTAAAATGTCCTTGTGAGAGGTACAAACCCAGGGGGTATAGCTCAGTGGTAGAGCATTTGACTGCAGATCAAGAGGTCCCTGGTTCAACTCCAGGTGCCCCCTCTTTTCCACTCCTTTGCCCTTCCTTTTGCCAAAATTTCTCTCGGAAAGAGGACGGAGAGCTCTTCCTGGGTCTGGTGAGCTTGTGGAGGGTGCTGAAGGTTGGTTTCTGAGCTCCATTATTGAAGGTACTGAGGTCTTGACGAGGGGGAAACTGCAGGGTTTGTGCACTGTGTGAGAAACTACTCACTGTCTGTATTTTCTTCTCTCTGTTCCTGATTCCCTGCAGCAATTCTCTGCACAGCCCTTGGAGGTTCAAGGGGCTGTCAATATGAGGATCAGACCAGTGGACATAAAACCTTGTCTTTCTGGGTGGATGTTTTTAAAATGTCCTTGTGAGAGGTACAAAGCCAGGGGGTATAGCTCAGTGGTAGAGCATTTGACTGCAGATCAAGAGGTCCCTGGTTCAACTCCAGGTGCCCCCTCTTTTCCACTCCTTTGCCCTTCCTTTTGCCAAAATTTCTCACAGAAGGAAGACAGTGAGTTCATCTTGGGTCTTGCGAGCTTGTGCAGGGCACTGAAGGTTGGTTTCTGAGCTCCGTTATTGAGGCCCTGATTAGGAGGAAACTGATGGAGTTATGTGCTCTGTGAGAAACTTCTTGCTGTCTGTATGTTCTTGTTTCTGATTCTCTGCACTAATTCTGTGCCCAGCCCCTTGGCAGGCACAGGGGGTTGTGAAATAAAACAATATGACCTGTGGACATGGACGCTTGTGTCTCTTTACAAAAATGTTTTAAAATCTCATTGTAGAACCTGACCATGCAGGGGGTATAGCTCAGTGGTAGAGCATTTGACTGCAGATCAAGAGGTCCCTGGTTCAACTCCAGGTGCCCCCTCTTTAGCTGTTTTTTCACCCTTTCTTCTTCCACAATCCCTTCACACAGTCTCTGGAGGCACTTTCTTACCCTTCTGAGGTTTTGGAAATCCCTTGGTGATCTTTCCCAGGAGTGAAATCAGACTTTGACTCTCCAACCTCTCTGCTCCTGAACACTGCATGTACGGATAAACAAGCTGGCTCTGCTGGTCTAGTTTTTCCTGTTTTGAGTAATTGCTGTTAATTAAAGAGTAAACAGCGCGTATGATGTATGCACTAGAAGAGTGCTCTCTGCAAAGTGTTTCCGGGCGGATGTACGTGCTGTAGAAATCAGTGTGTGGTTGGGTTGTTGAATGGCAGCTCTTCTTTTAGGTCCTACCCCGGGGCTCGAACCAGCGACCCTCGGCCCCGCAGCCGGACGCGCTGCCCCTGAGCTGCGCCCCCGGGGCTCGCGGGGGGAGGTGGGCGGGGCTTGCGGGGAGGAGGTGGCGCAGGGGCAGCGCGCGGGGCCGGGAACCGGGAGGTCACCGGTTCTAACCCGCCCCCGGCGCTGCCACAGGGACCCACACCCCGCGGGGCGGGAGCGGTTCGGCAGCAAACACGGGGACCGGGACACCCTGTTACTGCGGTTATAGCACCCCAACACCTTCCTCCCGGGAATTATCTCCTGTTCAATCATCTCCTGTAACCGCGATGTGTAACTGCCCGGGAGAATTCGCTCGGGGACACCCCGCCCCGAGCTGCGCCCCCGGGATCGGCCCCTGGGAAAGGAAAGGAACCAACCTGCAGGCCCGGGCACGGCCACACCCGGCCGGCTCCTCACGGTACCGGCGGGCGGGGGGAGTCCCGCTTGCTCCGCGCCGTTTAACCGTCTCCTCCACCCGGGAGGGCGGGCGGTGTCACGCTAGTGCTTTATATCTTTTCTTTTTCCTCACTGACCGGCACCGGGAGGCCCCGCGGAGCCGGCTGTACCCTCCGCCGCCGCCGCCTTGGCCCGCCATCTTGCCGGCTCCCCTCAGCGTCGCGGCAGAAGTGACGTCTCTGAGCGGCGCCGGGCGGAACAGGCGGTGACGCGTCGCGCGTTGATGACGCCCGCACAGGCCCGGTAGCCGCGGGGGAAGCGCAGGCCCGTCCGCCGCCATGGGGGGAGGCGACCTGGTGAGGAAGGCCGGGGTCTGGGGGAGCCGAGCGGGCCGAGAGTCGTCCCCGGGGCTCCCGGGAGCAGCCCGGGCGGGGACGGGTCGGGTTGATCGGGCCCTGCGGCCGTGTCCGTGTTCTCCGGTGGCTGCAGGGCCGCCGGTGTGAGCGGGTCGCGGTGGGAACGAGCGTGTCCCTTTCTGCGGGCCCCGTCGCTAGTGCTGGCGGGCTGCGGGCGAGCGCGGCTGTGAGCGGGCCCTTCCCCGTGGCCACCGGCGGGGGGGGGTCGATGGGGACCCCCGGGCGGCGGCGTTTGTTGGGGCTCCGTTAACGTTCCCCGTTCGGTCTCCCCTCTCCTGCAGAACCTGAAGAAGAGCTGGCACCCCCAAACCCTGCGCAATGTTGAGAAGGTGTGGAAAGCCGAGCAGAAGCATGAAGCTGAACGGAAGAAGATCGAGGAGCTGCAGCGGGAGCTGCAGGAGGAGCGGGCGCGGGAGGAGATGCAGCGATACGCCGAGGACATGGGCACCGTCAGGTGAGGTGGGACTGGTGGCCCCCAGGCTGCTGGTACAACCTCTGGGGCCAAGCACTGCCCGGCGGGGTGGTGCTGGTGCTCCTGGTGCCCCTCAGAGAGCCGTGGGTTTAATGTCTCTGATGATAAAATGATTCCGCTCACCTTCGTAAGCCAGCACCTTAAAAAAAATAACTTCGGAGCTGTGAAAAGGCAAATGAGACGGTCTTGTTTCCAATAGGAAGAGAGAAGAGAAGTTGGAGTGGATGTACCAGGGTCCTGGGGGCATGGTGAACAGAGAGGAGTATCTTATGGGTCGCCCTGTGGACAAATACGTCTTTGAGAAGACAGAAGACAAGGATGCCGGCTGTTCCAACGAGACAGGACTTCTCCCAGGCTCCATTTTTGCCAAGACGGGTGCCAATTCTGTCCTAGATATGGCAAACAAAATCCGGGAGGATCCACTTTTCATGATAAGGTACAAAATCTGGGGGTTAAAGCAGTAGCAGATGAGGCAAAGCATCAATATTAGCGACTCACCAAGAGCTGTCTTATTTGTCTTTGGTGAGCTCCAGGCTGGAGGTGGCAGCCCTGGCCTCTGCCAGCTTTGCTCACCCTTTTACGTGTGTGTGAGTATATCTGGTCTGCTTTCAGGATTCAGGCATTTATTAGTGTCATCGGCAGATTAATGATAACAGAAGACATTTTTGTTTACCCTATTAGTACACTTTTTGTTGAATGTACAAAACTTGCCTGTTTTCCTGCTTTATATGTTTCTAGAGCTCGCACTTGATTGGTATCGTTCATGAAAGTATGATCTTTTCAGTTGTTTGGAAATATTAATGTGTTTGTCTCCTGCTTTAGAAAGAGGGAGGAGGAAAAGAAGAGAGAAGTTTTGAATAACCCTGTTAAAATGAAGAAAATCAAAGAATTGGTAGGTGTATCTCAGTACTCTTTTACAGACTCGCAGAATACACTGAACCAGGGAGAGAATCATAGGTCAAAAATAGTATCATTTAGGATAAGGAGCTTAGTTCCATTTCCTGACTCTTTCACACAAAGACAGAATAAATTCAGCTTTTTATAATCCTCATATAACAGAACAAGGTTTCTTCCCAGTCATTCAGCAAGAATTAATTTATCTTCCTTTCAAATTCAGTGTTATTTTAGTTTTCTTACTCTTCTGGTGTGGTTTTTTTTTCTTTTAGATAGTGATTAATTGTTGATTTAGTACTTAGTGATTGCAGACATAGGATTTGACATGTGCTAATTCCAAGCTGACGCTGGAAAGACTCCATTAAGCTCTTTAGTTTAGAGGGAGGACCTTGTTAAATGGTTTAGGTTTTGTTCCAGGAGCCTTTCCACAGAGAAATCTGTTACTTTGCCTTGTGATGCTTCCCCAGTATAAAGCTGGTAATTATTGCTAATGAAACGGTGTCTTGGTTTATAGCTGCAGAACAGTTTAGATAAGAAAGAGAAAAAGAAGAAGAAAGAGAAGAAGAAGAAGCACAAGAAACATCGGCATCGCAGTTCTAGCAGTGAAAGTGACAGCAGTGATGAGGAGCGAAGCAAAAATAAGTAGGTTTTGAGGTTTTGTAGTAAAAATACCATGTTTCCTGGTTAATTCGTTTATTTTTTTCATGTCTCATTTAAATCCTTTCTGAGTGTTCTATATTTCTAATTAAAATTGTTAATTTGCCTAAGTGTTTCTATATATTATTTCATCACTTTTGCATCGTTAAGTTATTTAAATGACATTTTAATGTTAAAAATTGTGTTCTTGAATGTCATCTGCTTCACAAGTACTGTTCTGTTTTCTCTTTAGGTCTCAGAAGAGGATGAACAATTCCTCCTTGAAGTCAGCTCCTTTCAAAGTCCCGGGATATGGCTTACAAGTAAGTCCCTGTGTTTTGCTCTTCTCTTTTCGGTGGCGAGTGCCCGGAGTCAGGGAAGAGCAAGACCTTTGGCAGTTTGTCGTGAGACGCTTCGGTGTCTGGAAGAGGACTGTGAGGGGGAGGTGATAGGATAAAGTTCAGGTTCAATTTGAAGCCATCAAAGCCTTGAAACTGGGGTTGTTCAGATCCTGGTAGGACTTTTGTCTCCTCTGGATTCAAGTTTAGTTTTTATGCAGTTTCTCTTCGGCGTCACGCGTGTTTTAAATACTCTGCTTGGCTGTCTCAGCAGTTGAGTTTACTGAACACGATACAGAAATCATGTTTTTAGTCACAGGTGTCAATAAGAACCTAGGAAGTGGGATAGTTAATGACAAACCACGATGTACACTCCTTCCTGCACTTAGCCTGGTCTGAGGTCTCCTCTGTGACTTTAGATTGTCGTCCTTTTATGAGACATCTCTCCTGAAAGATTCTCTTTTTGAATTCCAGGTCAGAGACTCGGAGCAGAGCCACAGGTCCCGGGGCTCTCCAGCTGCCAGCCAGGAGAGGGCTCCCCACAAGCACCGGGATCGCTCCAGATCCAGGAGCCATTCCCGCTCCCCTCAGAGACACTCCAGCAGGAAGAATTCAGACCAGGCTGGATCCAGGGGCTCAAGATCTCCTTCTAGACACAGCAAACAGTGAGTGTGGCTCACTTGGCTGATGTAAACCCAGGGCTGCTGGTGGGGGAGTGGGGGGGGAGATCTCTAGGATCAAAGTCCCTCTTTTTCAGTCTCATTCTGCCACTCTAGTGATCTGGCCACGTCATTTCTCAGCTCTGGGTGTAAGGGCAGGAGCTGGGCTGTTGTACAAGGGTGCAGAAGCACCCAGGGGAGGGAGCTCCTGGAGGGCACACGCTGGCTGTGATTGCACCCTTTAGGTATTGCTTGTGACTGTACTTGATTTGGGCTAATGATTCTCTTTAAAAAGTATTTATAATTTGAATTATCTTTACTAAATGCTCATAAAACGGTATTTACTGTTTGCTGATGAAATAATTAAAATTAGTAAAAATAGATGGAAATTCACAGTATATTAAGAGTCATTAGAATTTGTTTTCAAAGTGGACAGGTCCTGCAGTTACAGAGATGTCTTAGGTTCGGAATGTATACAAAAATCCAGGGAAAGTTGAGAGGTGGGATAATGTATGTTCATCTGTCCTAAAAAAGAAGGTATTTCTGGGTTACAGACACAGCAGTCGAGAGGAGAAGGGCAGAGCTAGGAGCCCGTCCCCGAAAAAGAGCTATCGCCGGCAGCACACACCAGGTTACACCAGGTAAGGAAGACCCTGTTCCTCTGCTCTTGGATGGAAGTTGCCCTGGTGGTTGTGAAACAGCCGGGTGTCATCTGTGAAGCAAATTTTATTCTGTTAATGGAAATAGATTGGATTGAATGTCCAGAAAGTCGGGCAGAGTGTCCTAAAGTGCTCGGTTTGGTGCCATCGAGCTGGATTGTTAGTTAACACCTTGGACAACTTCCCAAACTGACTCACGTGGTTCTAGGTCTCCACGTGTCTCACATCACTGTGCACAGCAGTAATGAGAAGTCAGTCTTTGTCCCACAGACTGTTAATTAGAAGCATCCTGTTTCGCTTACACCAAGTAAGATGACAGCATCATCTTACCAGTAAGTTAAAAACAAGAAGGCTGAAAAGAGGAGGAAAACCAACTTTTTCTGAGGATGTGGTAAAGCAGAACATTTAGACCTTGGACAACTTCCCAAACTGACTCACGTGGTTCTAGGTCTCCACGTGTCTCACATCACTGTGCACAGCAGTAATGAGAAGTCAGTCTTTGTCCCACAGACTGTTAATTAGAAGCATCCTGTTTCGCTGTCACCAGGAAAATAAGACCCTTGACAGCATCATCTTACCAATAAGTTAAAAACGAGAAGGCTGAAAAGAGGAGGAAAACCCACTTTTCCTGAGGGTGTGGTAAAGCAGAACATTTAGAGATGTCCTTACAAGCTTTGCTGATTGGCTACCAAATTAAAAGCCATGTTAAACACCTCAAATTTGGGGGATTGTAAATCATCTGGAAGAATGGAAAGCAAGAGGAGGGTGGGGCCCAACGCGCTATCGATTCACAGCAATGGTGTTTCCTCCCCAAACAGAAAGATCTCTCCAGAGGAACTAGAGCGTAAACGGCAGGAAATGATGGAAAATGCCAAGTGGCGGGAAGAGGAGAGAGCAAACAACCTCAGGAAGCACCGAAAGGAGGAGGAGCTGGAACGAGAGCTGGAGAAACTCGACTCCAGGGATGGGAAGTTCTTCCAGTGAGTGGCTTTTATTTGCTTTTTCATTCAAGGGAAACGCAGGCCACGGCTTCTCAGGAGCGAGTGGCAGCCTCAACATTTGAGATGTTTCAGGTTATGGTGTAAGATCCATCTCTTCTGCGTTGTGCAGTGAAACGAAAAACTAAACCATATTCCTGAGGACCATGTTTCAGATTATGGTGTAAGATCCATCTCTCCTGCATTGTACAGTGCAACTCCTTAAAGATCATCTAGTCTAACCAAAAACCTAACTCTGACAAAAAAAGAAATAAGAAATAAGCAATTAAAAAAAAAAAAGAAAAAAACTAAACCATATTCCTGAGGACCATGTTTCAGATTATGGTGTAAGATCCATCTCTCCTGCATTGTACAGTGCAACTAGTCACATCCAGTGTTCCCAGACTCTCTTCTTGACCCAGGAGATAGCGATTTCGTTGATGGTCTTGGTGCTCAGCCTCAAAAACCAGTGATCTGTTATTTTTTGCCCTCCTGCAGAAAGGCCTAGTGGTGTTTGACAGGCAGGTATTAAAAACTGCTCTGTTTTTAGGAGCTTGGAACAGTTTTAGGCCTGCAAATCCACTGGGAGTCTGTGCTGAGAGCTTGGGGGACTGAAACCTGTGCTCAAGAAGAAATAAGACCGGGTGGTCACTGACAGTCCCTTGTGCACGTGGCAGGCAAAGGAAACAGGGGGGGCACAAGACTTTCCAGAAAGTGCAGCGAGAAGGATCCTCTGGCAGTGTTGTGTGTTTTGGGGTTGCTGCAGCAGAGTATTCTCCAGGCTCTATAAATTAATCAGAGGAGAATGTATACTTAACTCCTGAAGCTGTCCAGAGTTGGGATTGCATAAAAGTGGCTTAAAATCACAATGGATTTTCTCCGTGAGCGAACGGGGGGAGGTTTTTGTGTGTTTCCCTGTGCAGAAGGAACCGGTTGAGCTGCCAACCGTGGTGTTTATTGGCACGTTGTTTGAAGAGGGAGATGGGCAGGAGGGAATGGTTTGGAAAAGCACAGCCTTGGGATCTGAAGTGGTAAAAGACAGTGAGTGGTGGCAGGGATCCCTCCTCTCTCCTCTGCCATTTACAGCACGAGCACCTGGGGCTCCCAGGGGGCTGCTGCCCTGGGATCAGGAACACGTTGCTTTTCCCTCCCTCGCCTCACGCAAAGCAACCAAGTCCCCTGTGAGGGATGCACTTGTAATTAACAGTTAGTTATATTTGGAAGGTGGAAGAGACTGGAGAGCTACTGAAAATACATTTCTGAGCGCTGACCTTAAATAAGGCGTTGAATCTGTTACAAGCCAAACCAAAAGGTACTCCCTTCTCTCAGTGCAGACGTTGATAGGAAATGATTTGCTGTTTTCTGTGTTAGATGAATGTAGGGAGGTGACTTGGGGATGGCGAATCCTGCTGGAAATGGTTTGGAAGGAGATTCTGATTGCTTTTTTTCTTTTTGCTTGGATTTTCTGCAGTCGTTTAAAACTGGAGAGCGCGTCTACTTCCACCCTGGAAGACCGGGTGAAACGTAATATCCACTCCCTGCAGAGGACTCCTGCTGCCTTGGAAAAAAACTTCATGCAGAGATGAAACTTCCTTCTTCCCTCTGCTCCTGCGCGGGAGTTAAACCGGACTCTTATTCCCGGAGGTGAGAGACCTCCAGCACAGGCTCCCTGCTCCCGTTACCGTCTCCCGGAGCGGCGCAGGGTCCCTGTGGTGCCTCCCGGGCTCTGGGTGTTGGTGAATACCTTTGTAATGACTCTGGCCACACGAGGAAACCTTTGCTGGAGAACTCCTCAGCCTTTGTATTCCCTTCCTAACGCATCGCCACGGCTTTTCCTTCTCTCTCCACCTTGAACGGGTATATTTGTATATAATTATTACCAAATGATGCCAGTCGGTGGCTGCTTTCTACGCTGGGCAGATGGAGCTCTCTGTAGGACAGAGCGAAAAGACCTATTTTTGTTAGTCCTTAAAAAAAATCAAGAGTAGAACAAGTTCCCACGTGAGTTAATTTCATGGAAGTTGATGGAGCTGCAGGAGTAACGGACAAAATCCCCGTTCAGTGCTGTCCCTGTGCCAGGTGTGGGCTGGGAAGGTGACGCTGGACTGGGCTGGACTGGGAGGGAAATACTGGGAGGGAAATATTTGTATTTCACAGAATCTCAGAGAATCTCACAGATTCTCCAGAGAATCTCACAGATTCGCACCCAAAGGGAAGGAGGGGAACGAGCAGAGCGACCCCCAATCAGCAAATATTTCTCTGGGATTTTTTTGTAATGTAAGTAATGTGTATATGTACAGCGGTGTAGATCTTATTGTTTTATTTCTCTTTTTTTTTTTTTAATTAAGAAACTTTACTGCCCTTTTCAGATGTTCTTTGTGGCTTTTGGGGGTGGGAGGAGCAGGGTACCCCCCTCCAAAAGGATACCCCCTTTCCAAAGGGCTACCTCTCGCCAAAGGGGTGGTTCTGAGCCCCCGGGGGGTGTCACGGGCGGCGGCGGCTCCGTTGCGGGTCGATCCCGGCCCCGCTCCTCGCCCTTTAAACGGCGGCCCGTGACGTGCGGAGCAGCCCATTCATAATTCCAGGCGCCTCGCTGCTTATTGGCCCGCTCAGAAGGGGGCGTGGCCCGGGGCGGGCGCGTCACGCCAAGTGGGTGAGACCATCTCCGGGAAGAGGGGGAGGCGAGGGCGCTTGCTTTCCCCTTTATCTCTCCCCCTCCCTCCAGTCCTTCCCGTTGTCCCCTCTCTCTGCCCCAGCTCCGCTCCGCTTTTCCCCGTTCCCGCCGCGGGTTGAGTCGGGGCGAGCCGGCGGCCAGCGCCGCCCTCCCGCTGCCGGGGTTCCCCCCCCCATCCTGGGCGAAGAGGTGGTACCTCCCGCTCCCCACCTCCTCAGCCCTCCGCCATCTTGGCGCCTCCTCAGAGCGGGGCCGGAGCGGGCTCGGCCGGCGGCGGCGGCTCCTCCTCGGCGGTGGAGCGAACCACCGCGGGGGCGGGGTGGGGGGAGGCGGGGACGGAACCACAGCGGCGGGAGAGGAGGGGAGGAGGGACGGGACGACGGCCGGCAAAGGGGAATCTAACGGGCCGGGCCGGACCAAGGGGCAGGGGCTGACAGGGGCGGGCGGGACCACTAGGGGAAGATCGGAA